CATGCAGGCATTGACACGCTCTGTTAATATCCACCACCTTTTATCTTTTTACAATTCATCATACTTCCTGGACACTCTTATCTTCCATTCCTGCCTCTCTTTGATCACTTCAAAACCAAGAAAATTTAAAAATATCCACTTTCACCTCTCTTTCAGTACCTCAGCTGTGAAGCTAAACCAAAGAGAATGCAACATTCTCCTCAAACAAAACTTGAACTAGAACAAAGCTTCTGACTTAACCCTCCCTAGGATGAAGCATCTGACAGAAATCATTCAGGACTACAAGAGGAGAGAGGAGTTTGTACCACCCTATTCCAACAGAACACAGCGGCTGCTGTGGTGAGTTCTCAGCACCCTGCCTTACACATGGCAGCCCCTTTCAAAGTGTGCCTGTGTTGTTCATGATGGCAATGAAGATGAAAACGTTTGAAACAGAGACGATGACGATAATGATGTAGTTCACGATGCAGAAGAATAAAAATAGCACAGTATATAGCACACAAACACCAGTATGAACTATTATTAATTTTGGTGTTCTACAGTCAGTAAACACAATGTGGCCACAATTCACTCCTAGGAAGCGGTTGCCAGTGTTTATTTGGCAATGTGCCTGCATCCTGCCAAACAATTAAAATTAACTTGTTTAAATTTTCTCTGTATATAGTTTTATATATTGTATAAATTTTATTTTATTCTGGTAATTGATTATTATAGATAAATCCTAATGTTAACTTTAATTAAATTGATATTGTTCTATAAACCAGTTGGTGCTTGTAAACAGTCTCAGCTCAAGACGGACAATGTAAGGTCTCCCTCTGAATACATCCTCTCTGCTGCCTTCAGGGTTACGTTTCAAAAAATTGGGGCACATCACATATTACTTCCTCTCTCAGAAACTTGCAATTTCTCCCTTATTGACCACCTTACCACAAAATGATTTCTTAGAATATAATAATCTCAACAGGTCTTATCTTGTCATACATCACGTAGCACAGTAATAGCCCGTGCATGAAAAGCTGACACTGTCTTTTAGTGAAACCTTGCCATATTTCCAGATATATTTTTGTACTTCATGCTTCTTTATATTTGCACATTAGTAATTTTTATTGAGATTTTTCTTCTCCCTATTCTTCCCTTTCCCTTCACACTCTTCAAAACTGCTTTTTTTTTTTTTTTTTTTTTTATCTCAACATGCCATTGCTGGCTTGAAAAAAAAAACAGCTTGCTTTTGAAGAAAATACTACATCCATGTGGACTAAAAGCAGAGTTATTCACAAGAAGAAAAAATGGCCCCATATGGGGGAAGATACGCAAGATAGAGGACAAACAATAAAAATGGTAAACATAAGAGTGCAAGTAAAGAAATATTGACTGAATGAGCAATAAAAATCCTGGGTGGTGGGGTTTGAGACATCACATCCATGTTTTTGGTCAGTGTTTCCACGATCCTATCCAAGACCAAATTAAGTGTGCTATGTTACTATACAAAATTGTTTTATACTTCTAATAATTTCCCCATGCTCTCAAAAACATGTTAAAACTGATTATTCATTGTTTTACCATTGACTCGGAGATAATTGAGAAGATATTTTATTTACATCATTATAATCTAATCCAATAGCATAATGGTTAGTACAAAGTGTCACCTTTAAATATTTGTTGAATAAAGTCACTTTTATTATAATTAGAATTAACTGAATTATCTTCTATTGCCCTAATCCAATCTGCTTATTCTTTTATTATAATATTTATCCAAACATTTCTGGAAATGTTTTGTTACATTATATAGTAAAATCTGACTTATTATTAATAATAATTTTAAAAAACCACATATTAAAACATATGGATTTTTAAAATGATGTAAGTTTGAAACTCTAAATAATTATTATGATTAAATTTAATTGATAGTTCAACATGTCCCCAGAATTGGGCTAATGATTCTTACTCATTGTTTAATCCTCACAGAAACTCAATGAGGTTACTGCTGTTATTACCCACACTTAACCAATGGGGATAGACCAAGACTTGAAGAATGTATGTTAAGAATGCAAAGTCAATGACAGAAAGTGCCAGGGTCAACGTTAAGCCATTCGTATTACCATTATTCTAACTAAATTTTACTGATTTTTCCTGCCCACAAATTTTGATCAGTAGACAATATAAGCCAGACTAAACATAGTAACTAAAGCAAAATTGATAATTTCAGGTGAGATGACCAGAAAGGGACATGGTCAGGAGTAAATAGCTTTTGATTTGTAAGACCTAGAGAAATAGACTTTCCTGCTGATGTAGGCAGGCCCTCTTTGTCTGAATACTGTGGCTTTTGCATGTGTAAAGTATCACCCAAGACAGATTAATATCAATTGCAGGATTCCAAGAGAAACTATTGAATGCTGTTCAGACACCTAAGGATAGAAGACAATATCCCAGGGCTGTCCGACATGGCTGGATACTTTCTGGGCAGGCCCTGTATATCACCACCTTGGGCCAATAGTGGAAATTCTGAACAAAATGTTTATTGTCAATAGATAACCCTTCCTCCCAGTGAACTGTATCTTAGTACCATTCTGAGTTCAGCCACCTTCACACACAGTAACCACTCAAGTCATGGAACTGGCACTGGGAATAAAGCCCAATCAATGCCAGAATGCCTGTGAAGAGGATGAGCGTATTACAAGAAGAGATGAGAAATAGAATTCTCAGGTTCTCCCACCTTCGCTCTTAACAAAGAGATTGTAAGACTGAGGTGCACTTTCCTATCTCGTTATGAAACCTAAGTATTTTGTGAAATTTGGCATTGCATCGTGGGACTGGGATCTCTTCCCCGTACCCAGCTTTAGGAGACCGATCAGTAACAATGACATGGATAAATAACATTAATAAATAGCAGTACTTACATTGACAACTAACAGTTCTCCAGGGAAAATTGGAAGCTTTTTTCTTCCACCATGAAAGTTCAGTTTATATTTGAGTGCCTATTTTTGGTGGGTAAGATCATGTAGGCTGAAAGGGCCCTGCTATCTTATAGATTTATCTCAAGAAGCTTTGATGCCAGATCTCTGATTAAGATGAAATGACCATACCAGGATCTCTTAATATCATTTGAAAACATATTCAACACTCAGAATTTTAAAGATTAGTTAATATCATTTCAACATCAGAGTTTTCAAGTATTCAAATACTTGAATTAATTTTCAAATATCAACTATCTTGTATATATTTTTCTGCTCCAAATGATAATAATAAAATATCCATCTTCTTTCAAATATCTCTTACGTTTTCCAGTTTTTGGATACTTTGCCATACTATTTTGTGTTTTGTCCAAAAACATATAGCAGAGAAGTTAATAGCAATTTCTTTGGAGTCAACCTAGGTGTTAATCCTGGCTCTTCCAATTAGGAGACATGTAATTCTAGCTACTATTATTTTCTCTTTCATGTATTGTTTGCTTATCGACTACATAAAGATGGAAATATTAGACCCAATGTGCTTGTGAGAGCAAAATGATATCATATCTGTGCAGGACCTAATATAGAGCCTGTCACATGCCATAGATGCAAGTAATGGTGGCCGTAACATTTCTTCACTACGTGAAAATAAATATCAAACTAGAGATGCTTAACATGGATTATGGATTAAGAAAAAGCTCTATTTTTTTTTCTTCTAAAGAGCTACACATGAATCCATGAATGGCTTAAATTTATTTAGCAAATTATTAATTGAGGCTATAGGGCCAGAGGGAGCAAACTGGACTAGATTTGGGGACCCACAATCAAAAATGATTTTTTATTTAGGTCTCTGTTTAAATATAGAAATACAGTATGACCTCTGAAAAATTAAAGAACATTGATAAAACATAAATTTATGAATAAATCCACAAACACTTTCAATACACTTACTAGATTCATCTGATCATAATAGTTCTGAAAGTCATAAGTTCATGTAAATAACTACCTATGCAGACAAAGCAAATCTACCAAAATAAATAAGCATAAAAAGGAATAGATAACAGAATGCTAGAGAGGTTTTGGGGAGAAATAACAGAGGACACAAATTTCCCTTGTGCCCTAGCAATTGTGTTCCACAAGACTCTCCAATTATCTCTTTCCCTGGGTATCCTTAAGAAATATGGGTTCTCTCTACAGAACATAGAATATTTATGTCAATTTATCCAGTTATTAGAAATAAGAAATCTGAAGCTTACTGAGATTAAATGGCCAATTTATAGCTGTAATGAAATGCAGACACACCATAGATTTTATATTTTTAAATCCAAGTTATTGCCATTATATGACAGCAAAACAAACAGTTGGTTCACACAATTTTAGCAATGTGTTTCTCAAAGTGAAGAGAAACTGCCAAGACAGACATATGATCAAATCGTTTAGTGTTCAGACTTCAATAAATTAGTCAATATCCTCATGAGTCTACAGCTTCAAAATATTATGCTGGGAATTTTTCACCTGAAATATTCAAATTATAATTAGCCCTGTCAGTTTCTATCATTTCAGATATCCCACTCTTATATATCTCAAGGACACCTAAACATACCATGCAGTTATCTGAATTATGGAGATATGTAATTATATTATATTTCCATTGAAGATAGATAGATAGATTATACTCAGACAAGTTTCAAGTCAAAATGAAATATTGGAATATTTTAAGACATTTATTTTTCTTATGTTTTTCTTTTCAACCACTGTTCTCCAGCTTATCTGAGTCATCCATGGAAAAATACACATCAGAGAATGGGATCTTTCTGGAGAAGAGTGGATACTGCCTGGAAGACAGAACTCCATCATAAGGAAATTCATGCTGCAAAGTTGTATTGAATCAATAATCAAATCACTAGGTGCACACACACACACACACACACACACACACACACACACAACACACACACACACAGCCCGCATTGTCTAATAGCAACACACAGATCCCTTTAATTCTCAGTTGTTCACTCTGTGCAAAGTCTGCCATTTAATCGCCCAAGCAGGATGAACCACAGCATCATAACTGAGTTCATTATTCTGGGCTTCACCCAAAATGCTGAACTCCAGGAAATTCTCTTCCTTGTTTTTTTGTTTTTTTTCATCTACCTTGTGGCTTTTCTTGGTAATATGCTTATTGTCATTGCTATAATCTATAACAACACCTTGCATACCCCCATGTATGTTTTTCTTCTGGCACTGGCTATTGTGGACAGCATCTGCACAAAAAGCATCATACCAGAAATTCTTGGGACCATGCTAACACCAGGAAACACAATTTCATATGGGAGCTGCATGTCCCAGCTCTTCTTCTTCACATGGTCACTGGGTGCTGAAATGGTTCTCTTTACCACCATGGCCTATGATCGCTACATAGCCATCTGTTTCCCTCTTCATTACAGTACTATTATGAACCTCTGTATGTGTGTGGCCTTGCTCAGCACTGTCATGGTTATTACAGTAACCAATTCCTGGGTGCACACGGGTCTCATCCTGAGGTTGACTTTCTGTGGGCCAAATACCATTGACCACTTCTTCTGCGAGATACTCCCACTATTGGCTCTGCCCTGTAGCCCCGTAAGAATCAATGAAGTGATGGTGTACATTGGTGATATTACTCTGGCCACAGGGGACTCAACCTTCACCTGCATCTCCTATGGGTGGTATTATTGTTGCCATCCTCCATATCCGCACAGCAGAAGACAAGCAGAAGGCCTTCTCAACATGCTCGTCCCACCTTGCAGTGGTGTCCCTTTACTATTCCCCTGTAATCTACACATACATTCGCCCTGCTTCCAGCTACACATTTGAAAAGGACAAGGAGATAGCTGCATTCTATGTTCATGTGACTCCCGCATTAAACCCAATTGTGTAGAGCTTCCGTAACAAGAAAATGCAGACAGAGATTAGGAAAGTGTTTGCATTTCTAAAACATTAGTGGTTTCAACAGGGAACATTGCTTCTTTACTTTAGCATCACCTCCTACTATAACTTAGATTTTACTGATCTTTCGTAATTATCTCCATCCCAAATGTTCCCTTCCCTCTAATTCCTACCCTATTCCTAGCATTCTCATTATCTCCACAACTCCATATTCTTCATGTGAAGAATGTTTATAATGCAACGTACATCACACTTTCACATAAATACAAGGGCTGTCTGGAAAGTATCCAGCCATTGTTAATATAATTTTTCATGTTACATGGCTGGATACTTTCCAGACAGCCCTCTTATGTATCACAGTATATATTTTAACATCTTTCTAAAAATATATATATCATTTCTAATTTCTATATACGAATATACACATTTACCTATAAGCGTATGTGCACGTGAAACATGCATATGTCACAAAATACTTAAGTGTATTTTGTGCCATGTATTTGTTGATATGTGAATGTGAGATGGAGAGAATTAGTATGTATAATGAATTTGACCTTCCATAATGGGTCAAGTTAATTCACTTAGAATAATGTGATAATGAAGTATCCACTCTGGGTTTGGGCCTTATTAAGTTATTTAGATTTCACTGGAGAAAAATTTTGTCCTACTGAATGAAATTACAGGGAAAATTCTGAAGTCTCCATATGTTTGGGTAAAATAACTGAGAATACCAGTTCATTCACTTTAAACCAGTGAGTAGAATTATGCCTCATGCAACAGAAGTCTAATGTTAGGGAGTCAACAGTATATACAGCAGTTCAATGATGTCATCAAAGAAGCAGGTTCTTTCAATCTTCTTGCTCTACCATTCAACATTATTTTCCCTAGGTTCATGAATGGTCTCTGAATTACTAGGCACTCCGTCCATGACCCACAGAGAATGAAGGCTAAAGATGAAGATGTCACAGGGGAAATGAAGCTTTGTCTATTGTTTTTTATAAGGTTCACTCACGCAGTAAATATAACCCATATCACATTGGCCATAGCTACATATTACACCTTCTCAAGTTGTAAGCAATGGTTGGAAGAGCGAATTTTGAAAGTAGATGCTTGGCATCCCTGAAATAAATTTAGAGTTAACATAGATGGGATGGGAAGGGGGTGTTCATACCATGCCAGCTACTACTACTACCTATCAACAAATACATTAGTATCATAAATGTAGATTTGAGGTCACAAACTAAATGGTGAAATATAATTGGATTGACAAAGTGAGAATGCCAAAATTGAGACCATCATAATACAAATGCACAACATATCTTATACCAAAATGGAACAATACATTATTTGTTGTGATTACTAAATCATGACATTTTTAATAACATATTTCCAAAATTAGGCAAACATGTTGGCAGAATTTAATCTTACACATAAATCTGAAGCACTTTTTTGTTTTAATTTAAACTGGGTAATAAACCTATTTAGGGTTCTTTTTGGGTCATTTAAAAACACATTAGAGAATTCTGTTTCTAAGTGAAATTATGTATACATGAGTTTTTAGAGTTCATTTGTTTACATCATTTTTGCCAGCAAAATTACAATCACATAATGGTAGATATATTTTTAAACATCTAGTCTTAATTTTCCCTATATCACTAATTTCTTTCAAAAAGAAGTTAACTTTCACACTTATGTTTTAAAAAATTCAGCCATTATGGAAAACAGTATGGAGATTTCTCAGCAAACTAAAAATAGAACAACTATATGATCCAGCAATCCCACTCGTGGGTATATATGCAAAGGAATTGAAATCAGTATGTCAAAGAGAGATCTGCACGCCCATGTTCATTGCAGCATTATTCACAATAGCTAGGATATGACCGCAACCTAGGTGTCCATCACCAGATAAATTGATAGAGAAAACGTGGTAAATATACAGAATGGGATACCATTCAGCCTTAAAAGGAGGCAAAATCCTGTCATTTGTGGCAACATGGATGAGCCTGTAGGATATTATGCTAAGTGAAATAAGCTGGCAGAGAAAAACAAAGACTGCATGATCTCACTCATATGTGGAATCTGAAAGAGTTGAACTCATAGAATTAGAGTAGAATAACGGGGAAGGGGAATTGATGCGGAAAGAGAAGACACCGATCAAAGGGGGGGAAGTTTAAGTTAGACAAGAGAAATACGATGTAATGATGTATTGCACAGAATGGTGACTAAAATAATGATATCTTGTATATTTCAAAATTGCTGTGAGTAGATTTTAAATGTTTTCACCACAAAAAAAGTATATGAGGTGATAGATTTGTTAATTAGCTTGATTTAATCATTGCACATTGCAAACATATCAAAATGTCACATATATCCCATAAATACAACTATTATTTGTCAATTAAAATAAAATTTTAAAAAAGAAACAATTTTGAACCAGGTAGCATGCAAATATTATGAAACAGTTCATCAAATTTTAGAATTTTTATTAAGAAAAAATGTCTTACATTGGAACTATTCCAAATGATTTTCAAACAAAGTAATTTGACTGTATCCTTCATGTACCATAACCTGAATACAAAGAACTTCAAAATTCTTTAAAACTGTTCTCCTAACAGTCCATACTCAATTCTGAGGTAAAATATATAAAATCTTCTACACAAAATAACCATCTTCTTTAACAACAAAAATGCAAGATTAAAAAATATAAGAACTCATGATATATTTTACTTTTAAAATGTGCATATGCCCTAGTAGTTAATCGAAATAATGATTAATCTAATAGCATTAAACACTTCCAGTGTGAGACTGTGGTATCTAAAAACCATTTCCTGTAAAAATAATCACAGCTCCTTGGAGAAATGGTAGGCCAGAGGTTAGGAGTAGAATTTACATAAGGCAAACTGGGGACTTCGTGGTCACATCAGAATGCATGAATGCTGTCAAGTAGGGTCATGACAAATGAACGGCGGCATCAACTTACACTTCCATTGGAAAATATTGGGCATTTGTCTATCAGTATGGAGAACAATGGGAGTGAATTTAACACATCAGATATGTTTAAATTCAGAAGTTCCAAATAATCCTAAAATATTTGGTGAAACTAGGAGAATGTTAGGGGATCAACTCACTAAAAGAGGTTAAAAAAATAAAATAAAAATAATATACCCTGTATTTCCTATGTAATAGTTACATGAGGATATCAGGGTTGCCAAATAGTTGGGGTGTATGCATGGTGGGGGTGCTAGTCATCAAGAATGATTTCAGCTAATAGATGAAGAAGGTGGATAGAATTAAAATATCACTTTGTAAAATCTAATGACATCATAAATTTTGGCACTGATCATCAATGGCTCTGATAATACTAGAAGGGAGGTAATCACTGATATTGGTCATCTTGCCAAAAAAAAAAAAAATCATCGAACCTTTATATCTAGCAATTAGTTTACGGAAACAGTAGAATTTAGAGGAAGATGACACCACAGGAATGCATCCAGCAATACCCAGATGTTGGGAAACTCTGAAGTACAAACAAGCCAGTTTATTCAAAAACAGAATTGTGAGAAATATAAATAAATAAATGTAAACTTACAGAACAAAATTTAGGAGGCTTAATAATCGATTGCAAAGTATAGGCCTTATTTGTATCCCAATTCAGGCAAGCACAATGTGTAAGAACTAGTAAGTCAATTACAAAACTAAGAACTCCAATTGGATATATGACAATAATATTTGGGGAGTATTAATTTTTAAGTGAAATAATGTCTTTTTGCATTATGCACAAAAAAGAGTTTTTGTATTTCAGATGTACATTGTGAAATATTTACACATTAAATAACATGAATTATGCAAAGGAACAGGCAAAGACATTATAAAATAAAATTTCCTATATATTGTTGACCTTTGAAACTAGTAAACTAGGCAATTTGATAACATAGATTACAAAATGTCATTCTCTAAAATTTTTTTAGAAAATTTCCACAATATAAAGATAAAAAAGAAACATGACTTCCATCCTTGTTTGACAATTGTTATGACTATATTTTAAATACATTTTTCTTTATAAAACTCAAATATTTGCTGCAAAGTTTGGCTTTTGATGTAGGATATTAACTCTACCATATGAATTTTTAAAAAAAGAATAATCCAGACAAAAGAACCATTCAATTAGAGGTGAACATCTACATATTTCTTTCTGTATAAGATTTTTGTTTACTAGAGAAATCATCTTCACCAATATATCTTTGCTTGCTTGACTCATAGAAATGATGTTTGGATATTTATTTATTGAAATAGGTTTGTACAAATATTAGATAATTTCATGGATCTCCTACAATACTGATTTATTTTAAAATTTGTTTCCAAACCTTTATTGCTTTCTCAAACCTTATTGCTTTCTCTTTTTCTTCAGAAACATTTTCTGACATAGGAATACAGTTTAGCTTCTCATCACATTATTTTTCCTCATCTCTATCAATCACCATGTTTATAGCAACATAAGAAAAATAAGCATTTCTTCAATGGTATTTTGCTTTCTCTCTTTCACTTTCAAGTAAGAAGCCTCAAAGGAAGCGTTCAAATATGAATCATTCTATCTATATGTTTTTTTAATTGCAACATTCTTTTTTTAAGACATATAAGTAAACTTTATTTTACCCTTTAGAAAGACAAAGAGAATGAGGGACAGGTGGGGAAGGGAGCAGAGAGACAGCCAGCCTGGCATCCCAAAGAAACAGAAGGGAGATGCCAGCAATTTAACTGCAAGATTCTGTAAAGTGTGATACATTTTGCAATGTGTTTCTTTGTTCTAAATGCTTAATTTCAATACATTGACCTAATGGTAATAGTTTTTATACTATTACAAGCTAATATTGTGATGCAAATACACAGCTAATGTGAGGTTCATTTTGTGAAGTTCAAGCAGAGTAAATCCATATTTCAGTTACTCTTCTTAATAATTTTAATTTTAATTTTTTTCTTCTGAACATTTGAAAGAATTGACTAGGATATTACTGTTTTCTTTTTACCTCAGATCTGGCTACTATAATGCAGATATTG